ATAAAATTGGCTTAATATATATATATATATATAGGTACAGATATATATATTTATAGGTATACAGCTCGAGTCACTCTAAAGAGATGCGCTCGAATGGGAGAAGGGAGAACGAGCCTTATGTTCACATAAACTGTCATTTGCGGATTGCTTTGATTTACGCGAAATAAGTACCCCTGAGCACAAAGTCAGTTCAAATAATTATAATTATTGAAGCTCACAATTTGTTAGTGCGAGAGTGCAATTAAGAAGTTGAAGTTGTTCTACTGTGCGACATATTTGAATTTTCCGCCAGTTTGGTAGCTGTCTGCTCTCGAGCTATATCTATATATATAGCTGCAGAGAAGACTTCATTAATGACTGAAATAATTATTTCACATTGTTTTTCTGTTAGTTTTACAATAATGAAATAGATAATCATCATCGACAATTAAATTGCAAACGACTAAAGTAAGTTTCATAGCCGTATATGGAGTATTTGAGCCAGACAACGTACTTATCCGGACTCTCGCTGGACCATTTAGTTTTTATTTTTTTATAGACAACCGGAAGATCCGACAATTTTTTGCAAAGTGATTGCAAACGTTGCTAACGATTCCGCAATTTTGGGTATTTTTTTCATGTCCCAATTCGAAAGTCATTCGCGGAGTTCCTGGAGCCTGAGTGAGGGACCCGCCACTCATCCATCCTTTTCTCTCCCACGCATCCCTCCGCCACCATCTTCCACCCTCCACCTCCTTTCGCCTACCCGGTTTCTTGCTTGGGTGTCACGACTCGCGCGTGTGCTGCTCGCTCGCACAGTTGCGGCTGTGCCACATTCGGCTATACGCTGCCGCTCCTCCCTGTACGTTATCGTTTCACGTTCTCTCATACAGTCCAAGCGTTTTTACCGTATACACAGTTACTACGAGCGACTCAGCGACGTGAACGTTCCTTGTGTTTACAGTTATCAATTTCGGCCCAAAACGCGTCTACTCGGCGGAGTCGGAGCTGTCAGCAGCCATCAGCTGGGCGATCGTTCGAGGAGAGGAGCCCGCGGGAGAGGCATGCTGCAGCCGGTAACCTCGAGGTGAGTTTGTATACTTTCTTAGGTTATAAAGCGTGTTGCGGGAGAGTTTTTGAGCATCGGTCAACGCCGGGCATCGTTTTTTTCTGTCCCAATCACCTGCGAAACTCCCCATATGTCACTTGCATCTTTTACCGTACGTCGTCTGCTCGTAAAGCTTATACTGTCGGTAACAGCTGACGTATAAATACAAAATGGATATATTTTCGATGGGTATAAACAACACCTAATCGTAAACACGCGTCGTCCCCATGACAGCTGACTTATGGGATCACTTGTATATCAGTTGCACGTGCTACAACATCATCCAACATCAACAGAGTTGACATGTTTTTCGCAAGTTTGTTTGTTTGGGTTTATTCGAGTGTCAAATCATTCACGGTCTTTACTGTTACAGAGACAGTTTAATTTTGATACTTTCTTTTTGATCCTCGAATGAAACCATTGTTTATTACTCAACCTTACAAATCACATTGTACAAACAGCGCAAAGAATCATTTCCCAGGACGCGGACGTGGGAATTCCTCGCCCTGGCGGTTTCTCTTTTTCTGTGCCTACTTCTTCACACTCTGTCGCGTTATTACCCGGAATCGTCCCGCGAAAGGAGCTCTCTGGATAAGTTTCGTTTCGAAAACGGAGCAGAGAGGCAAAAAAAAGGAGCAAAGAAATGTTGGAAAACGGGATACACCGTGAATACGGAAGCGGTGAGTGGTGTACCGAGTATAGTGGCACACAGAGAGCCGCACGCGAGGTGACTGACACCACCTGATGCGTCAATGACCACATCACACGTGTAGGACCGGTACACGTATCCTACTCATAATACACTACCAAAGCAGCAATCGCTTAAGTAGCCAATGGGTTTGAACAATTGTTACGTGTTCCTCTTTAACTTTACTTTTGTAAAGTGTGTTGCTCCTCCGCTCTATACCAGTGTTTAATCTTTCTTTTTTTTTGTGTGCGTGTGTTACACCTACTTTATACTTTCGCTCCTCCGCGTACTTGCACATATACGGTACACACACTCGAGTTACATTCACTTTTGCGGAGGCTATCTTTTTTTTTACGTGGATGAATGTCTCTATAACTCTACATGTGTTTGTACGTATACGTGTCAATGTAGGTTTGTTTGTTTGCTACAACAGCACGTGCCGGTTTTTGCTACTACGGATGCTGTTACAGCAATAAATGACAAACAGCTCTTTTATCAGTGGTCGAATATTGTTGCAGCTCTCAAACGAAAGAGTGAATTTCAATATGATATGCATCCTTATCATTTGTAATCAATTACTGGTATTCTGATGTGAATGTATAATAATCAACTAATTTCTCAGTAGTTTTGGCTTAAGTAGACAATTAAATCCAATAATGACCTGAAAGTAACCAAAGATACAAATGAGAGACAGGGCCAAAATAGGTACTTAGTTGTAATATTCTCACAGTTTGCGATTGATACTATTGTGAAAACGAGATGTGGAAATATTTAAATGGCTAGTGACTAAATACCAGTTGAGAAGAGAAAATAAACTTTGTAAACTATGCGAAAAAGAAGAGGCTAATTTAGAAAATTAACAAATAAACCATACGTTCGTTTACGACGGAGTTACGTGATGGAGGTGAGCGTTTGAGATAATATTTTAATATTATATCGAGTACATCTTATAAAAACCATGTCATTTTTTTGGGAAATTGAAATAAACGTTAAAAAAATCGAGTGGTAAGCGAGGTGGTAAGTATATGACTTGAATATGACAATGTTCGTAGTCAAAACGCATTTGAATTTAAATGGATTATTTTATTTTAACTCCTAAATATGACTATTCATACATATAAAACTGTTTAAACATCAGCTGAATTCACGCTCATAAACGCACCCGATACATTATATCTTACAGTATGGAGATAAGTTCAACAGAGCATGAAAAAAAAGCTTTGAAGTAGATAGTCTTTAACGCTCGCGTACGCGCGTTAAATGATAATTATTTGAGGCCTTAAAATATGCACAATAATTTAATTTGTAATAAATTTTTTTTTGAATTTGAACTTCTACGAATAAATTTTACGTAACACACTGCGTGTTCCTGCCATATTATCCTCGTATCGCTTCAATATTTTAAGCTACTCGGTTTCAAGCTAAACATCGACTGACTTATGTGTACGGCTCACGCGGAGTAAAGATAAATTTATGCTCCATATCTAGGACATTCATTTTTACCCAATAAATAACGCGAACAGCGGCTTAGACGCCATGAATCGTCCTTGTTCACTGTAAACGCCAAAAAAGAGTTTACCAACTAAAAAGCTCCAGAGACCAGAAAGGATGTGCCCGTTTTGTTTCAATTAAACAAAAAGCATAATAAACCTCCAATAGCCCAAAATTCAATCAAGAGCTACATCTCCTTTAAAATTCGTGAGCTAACGCAACTCGCGTCAACGTGTCATGTATACCTAATTACTCGAACCAAATAATCTAGTTTCGTGGCTGTGTGTTGCACACGTAACCGAGTGGCAAGATTTCGCTCACTCCCGAAGTTTGTATAATGAGCGCGTTTGCGCCACCCAATAGTCGAGCCAAACAAAATTTCGGTATTGCAGAGGGAAAGATCGAATGCTTAATAAAAGTTCATGGACTATCGAGTGTTGCAGAGAGACAGGCTTTGAACGAACGGAATATCGATGACTTGGCTGCGCTGTGCGGCTTCCGCGAAAATGTTGATTTACCATTGCTCTCGCGGTGACACGGGGCTTCACTTTCTATTACGTTGTTAATTAAGGGTGCGTGTCTGGGTTAGCGAAAGAGATGTTTTTTCCTTATCTGTCCAAATAACTTCGGAGTGTTAATTCGTCTTTCAAGCGCCATGTATTATTTGGAAGGATAAATCAATCCTTTCTGGAAAATATTTTGATACTTTGGTGAAATTGATCGATATTTTTTAGTCTGTTCATAACAGTCGTTACTTGTGAGTTAGTTTGATGATACATTTGCGACAAATAATGTGTTGTCGCATTCACAATAACTATACCATCACCTTAAGCGACCACATATATAGTTTCATAGAGCAGCAGTGTGTAATTATAGCTTGACATTAACCCCGAACGGAGGGACCGAGATATATACATTACATAACCAAGGCGATTGCGTGTACAGCTATACCTCTCTTGGATCCGCTGTTGTTGCTGATGCTCTTGGAGGTAATGGGAAACCGCAATGATTGTATCCGCGCGTCTCTTTCTCGCCTCTAATTGACATTTGTATTTTGGAAATCAACCATAACGACTACTATTCTCCTCGATGATGATGATGATGATGATGATGATGATGATGATGATGATGATGATGATGATGATGATGATGATGATGATGATGATGATGATGATGATACACTTGTGGTACGATTGTCCACTTTGGGATCAGCTTGTCATTTCGACTACTTAGCATTAAATCATTTGTAATCGAGGACATGAAAAAAAATGTGTTTTTTACAGTAATTAAAAGCGTAGCTGCTGCATTCATTGGTTTATTAGGAAGGAAGGTCCTTTAGTTGTAGTGATACTAAGTTATTTATTCATTCAAATTCCAATGTATAATAATTATGAAATCTCTCTGTCTGCGCATGTAATTTCACAATCATTCAGCTGGAAACTCTTAAACGAAAAACCACTACAATAGCCCTTTACTGTGCACTTACGTCCCAACTTGAGCTGTCGCTGACGTTCAAAGATTCGAGATATTCTTCTCTTACCTATATAAATTTTTTTTTTTTTTTATATTATAGTGTAGTGGCCTCATAAGAGGTATTTACACTTATACCTATACAAATACCCTCAATTCCCCGTTTCTGACAACATTTAAAGCGCTTAAAGTCACAAACTTATGCAATTCGTTTAAAGCGCACCAGCTACAGCTGCTCAGGCAAGATAATACTCGCTGCTGCGCGAACTCGTGTACCCGCGCACGCACGCCGTTATAATCCTCGTGCTCGACTCGCGTGTACAACAATAGGCTACTAAAAAAAAAAAAAAAATTGGAACAAGCCCCTACCGAGAGATTAGACTGTTGTGCATGGTGCCAGAAGTAAATAGGAGAAAAAGGAAGAAATGACGGGCTTATGATAAATTGTGCGTTGTTCCTCTCCTTTTGGCTATTTACGATACTTTTTGTACTTAACAATCGCTCACCAGCTTGGATACCATTTATCTCGTGAAGATAATATCTTTGAAGTGCAGGAGTTGCGCATATTTTTGCTTAAACCATAGTTGAAGAGTTTTAGAGGAATACAATGGTTTTGAGAAATTATGAGCGTCTTTTATACTCTTCCATTTTTTTTTTTTTTTTTTTTTTTTTTAAGGATGCAAAGCGTTATGTCGGAAAAGAGGTTGAAGCCAAAACTGGGCAAAATAAAGACTGGAAAACGTTAAAAGTGATCATTTAAAACTGCACCACTTAAAAATAAGTAGAAACAGCCGAGACAGGCACAGACGGCTCTCGCTACTTATTAGCATTTACAGTTTTCAACGCTCCGTATGTATATACATATATATATACGTGTGTGTATGTATATTCCAAGTCATGTTTGCAGCGAGCTACATTTTTCTCGAATTTCCCCGCGAGGCTGGCAGATCTCGGCTACTACCGTTAATTAAAAATTTTTCCATCTTCCTCTCGCACTTGGCGTAATTAAACCCTCACGTGGTGATTATCCGAAGCCGAGCTCATTTTTCGGAATAATCAAGCAAAATGATAATCCTCGAAATCTCACGCAATTTTGGCTCCGTGTCAACTACTTAAGTAGAAACGCATTGGTCCGCATCGAAATTAGTATACTGCGGTAGATCGAAGTAATCCAGTCTATCGAGTGGTGTACAGTAATAAGCTCGTGCGCGCGTGAAAAATGCACTGTTGATAAACGAATATAGTGGTATAACGCAACTTGATTCTGGTAAGGCTACGCAACTTCCATATGCGTCGGTGGCATCGAAGTGTCGCGAACCGAATCAAATGC